TTATAATTTTTAGTGAAAGTACAGTTATAGTTTAAAGAGAAGCAGTCAGCATTTGTAACATTTTGAACTGTTGAAATAGTGCAGACTTACCTTATTTTCTCCCTGTCAGAGCAGAAGTGAAACTCATTTTTTAAGGCCATCCTTGTCCTATCTGAGCTGATAACACACTAACCAAACTGAACAAATAACAGATGATCTAAGCATTACATGAAACAAAAACAACTAACAGCAGTACCATTCTTCAGAGTTTGAGCATAGTATCGGATATTAGGCCCCGTTCACACTGAGCAATTTATCGCGTGGTAATCCGCGCGATATCGCGGATATTTACCGCGCAATATCGCTCTCCAATGCATCTCAATGGGGCTCCGTCCGTCGTTGTCGCGGGTCGTGTGTCACTACACAGGACCCTTTTTGGAGCGGATTTTGCCGCGATTCTAGGTTGCTCAATGCAACCATTTGCGCGACGAACGCGCAAAATGCAAATCGTGCGACAAACGCGCGATTTGCGAATCGCTCAGTGTGAATGGGGCCTTAGCCCTAGGTTGAAGCAGGAGACCAGTTAGCTTTTATATGGTCATACAGCCTGACTCTGAGCTAACATTTCTGTACCAACAGGCTGAGAATACAAATGAGTAAGTACACACCCTTTATTTATTACAAGTATTTATTTAGCGCCGACAATTTACGCAGCGCTTTACATAGAGCACATTTACATCAGCCCCTGCCCTCAAGGAGATTACAACCTAAGGTGCCTATCTCACATGGACACAAACATACAAGGACTATTTGGAGAGGAACCAATTAACCTTCCGGCATGTCTTTGGAGTGTGGGAGGAGTACCTGGAGGAAACCCACGCAAGCACACGGAGAATATGCAAACTACTTGCAGATAGTGTTCTGACCGGGATTTGAACTGGGGACCCTGAGTGCTGCAAGGCAGAAGCGCTCACCACAACGCCACTGTTCAGATCCTAACTGACCAGGATTCTGCATCGTTAGCTTTCATGAACAAAGCAAGTCAATTAGAACTCGTACCAAACCACCTTGTAAAGGCTCCTCTAATATAATTCTTCACATTACTAAGACACAGTGGTGGGGGGTGAAATAAAGTTGGTTTACTGCTGCATTTGTTTGATGATTCCATTAGCGAAGTATGTACAATATACAGTACATACACTCCCTGTTCATTGCACAATCACAGTGAAAGTGGGACATAGGGACTTGCTTAGACTGAAACCAAGCAACAAATAGGGATAAAATATGCAAATTTCCTGGGCAAGCCAAATGATCTATGTTTTTGTAATAGGAGAACATAAACAGAAACTATAGTCAACCAACAACACTAACTAGGGCTGTTGCTCTTTTCCAGGCCAAAAAGACGGCTTACTATAAGAAATGCCTCAAAGTTTACTTTCCTGGCCTTTTTAAAGGAAACTTTGCTCAGGGAAATACGAAGGTTGACATTGTTGCACTCCATCTGAAAATTCTAGTTGACTGGCTGTCAATGCTTCCTAAGCAGCTGACCTGAAATAAGAAGTTCACTTACTACATGCTTGTTCAAAGTCAGAGACAGCCAGGTAGCTAGTAGTTAGGAGGCTTGACATGCCAGACCCCAGATTTCTGTTAAAGTCACATTAAGGGCAAAAGTCCCCCCCCCCCCCTTGCTAATGTAAGGACTTACCTTAAATGATGCCTCTTAATCCGATCTTCTTCTTTCCTGTAGTTTTTAGCTGTCCCTCCAGCGCTGGTGCGGGTCTCCAATACAGCGCCGACTCCTCTGTCCTTCTCTTCTCTCATGTCCCATGGCGCTTGTGCGGGTGCACGCTGCTCCATAGACTTACCTTGTGTCTCTTGTCTCCCGGCCGAACATCTGAACTGCGCATGCGCCAAGATCCTTTGCAGCCGCATGAGAAATTTTCAGATGTTCGAACGGGAGCGCGCGGCGTAGACACAAGTATTAACCCTTTGAAAAAGTTTGTGTTTTTTTTTTTATAGTTTTGCATATATCTACTACTTGCTAGCAGTAGATATATGCAAAAACATGCGAGGGTTTAATAACCCTTTAAAAGGAGGTTTCATTTAAAGAATAACTACAGTTTTGGTACACTAAGGCCCTGTTCACACGGGGTGTTTTGGTATTCCTGCATCAGGAATCTCAGGTGTCCTGCTCAATTGCGGCCTCTGAACCCATTGAAATAAAGGACAGGGTGACAGCGGCTGCATCTTGGTTTGGGCACCACGTCTGAAACAAGAGACAAGAAGAGTATTATGAGAGGATAGGAAATTAGGTCTGTGTCAGGCTGGCCATTGTTAGCTCACAGCCAGCCCGACACAGATTCTGTGCCCCACTGGCCCTTGTTAAGAAAGCAGTAATGTACAGGCTCATTTTAAAAAGAGCCTGGTCTGCCTACTGTGGTCATAAAGGAAATGTGTCAGTGACCCAATCGAGCTCTCTTGAAAGCACCCTTCCCCGCTCACCAAACCATCTCTGACATACTGATATTCAGCTTTATTACACTTCCCTGAAGCTCCATTCCTCCATCAGGGCCGTGGGTCTAAACCTCTGTGTAAACCCTCTAACAAGGTTTAATGAACTTCTCCCCTTCCCGTATGGCAGTCCTTGAGACTCGCTATTGGCTGCCTAGGCCCAAGCGATCCATCCTCTGAAGGTCACATCCTCCCCCATACCAAAAGCACCAGGTATTACTGAAGGCTCCAACGGGTCAAGGAGGGTAGGGAGGGGTGTGTGGCAAAGTAGAACCTGGGGATTGTAGGCTACCAACAGAACTTGTCATTTTGCCTTGCATGGGCTTAGTGAGTGACAGACTCTTAAAAGGGGCATTAAAAAAGGAACACCGGACAAAAGAAATGTTAACCCTTGCAGTGGGGCTCCCTCCACACTGCAAGGGTTTACGTTCTTGTTTTGTTTAGGGAGCTAAAATAACAGACTCACCCGACTCATGATCCCGGCTGGCTGTTAGACTGGTCTCTTCAGCCTCCCTCTACCTCCAGCGGTCTAAGGTCCTGTGAGCCATCACATTCTATACAGTGTGTTGGACGCGAGGACTTCGAGGGACATTCCACTGGTGGGGCGGAGAGGGAGACAGGCTGTGGGGACCAGTCTAGAAGCCAGCAAGGAACGTAGTTCTTCTTTAACTGTTAATAAAGGAATGTAACATGCTGTCAACCACAGCACATCAATAGAGGTTTCATTTACCTATTGTAAGAGGAGTAAAAAAGAAATTTGATTGGATCCTATATGTTGCTGCCTGCTTTTAAACCTAAAAAAGAAGTCTACAGCTGAATGAAGTTGGGCTAATGTTTTTTATACAGTAGCTGTCAAATAACAATAGTGTCATAGGAGCAAATATCAGATTATTAGAGCAGTCAGATCTCAGAAGAGTACTAGTCTGCCGCCAAGAACAATACACAGCTTCAAAACAGCATCTGGATAACACTTACCTGTTACTTATCTGAAGCATTACCAAACATTAATCAAAACACGGCTTGAGAGACACTAAAATCCGAAATTAAATCTTAAAAATACATTCAAGTACCTTAACTATTAACAAAAATGTATCTTATTTGTGTATCACGCAGCTGTAGATCCTCAAATCATCTCTGAATTGATGCGGATTAGGAGGTGCACCCAAATGAAAATTTCAAAACCGAAACAAAAACAGAAATAAGAAAAATTGTCAGGCCGAAACCGAAAATGTTTTTTATTTTCACTTTTCAAATTTTTACAAATATTTTATTTATTTTTTATAAACTTTTTCATTTTTTTATATTTATTTTTTTTATATTCATTTTTTGTTAAATATTTTTATTTTTTAACTTTACTTTTAGGGAGGAGGTGACGTAGAGCAGTCAAATTCATTCATAATTGAGGATATAGTAACCATACCATGTCCTCAATTATTTAGAAACACTCAGCGACACGTTGTCGCAGGAGGCTGAGCGAGCAGAGCTCAGCCTCCTGTGACAGCGCTGCCAGTCTCCGCCCACACTGCTCTCCTCTGATCTGTGGCAGGAGGCTGAGCGGTGCAGGGAGGAGAGACGCCGGCCGCTCACAGCGCTCTCCAACCACAGCGCTCGGCCACCTGTGACAGTTATTCTCCTACCCACTGGGACATAGAGCAGTGGGGAGGAGAGAAAATCACGGATGCACCGCTGTATCGGCCAGAAAATGGCACTTTCGGCATCATGCCAAAAGTGGCATTTTCGTCCCATATGTTTCGGCAGCCGATATATATCAGTGCATCCCTAGTGCTGACACTGTCCTTTCTTCTGGAGGGTTGCTACTTGTGTTCCCCATGGTACCTGTGTGTGTTGTAAAGTAGCCACCGCTCCAAGCTCACCCCTGTGATGGACTAAAATCTCATTATAAATTAGTAAACTAAACATGAGATTGTAGTCCATCATAGGAGTGAGCTTGGAGCGGTGACTACTTTACAACACACACATAGGGATCATGGGGAACAAAAGTATCAAGGACCATGGGGAACAAAAGAAGGAAGGACAGTGTCAGCCCCAATTCAGAGATGATTTGAGGATCTCCAGCCAAGCGATACACAAATATGATAAATTTTTAATTTATAGTTGAGGTGCTCGAATGCATTTTTAAGATTTCATTCCTAAATTTAGTGTCACTTTTATATCCGATTTGTTCTTCTTTACCTGTAACACAGCTTGGTCAGCGTGTGCTCCATAGGAAGCAAACTGTACCATCCCAAGCTATACAGTTTAACATACCAGCCAGTTATCTATCACATGAAGACAACAACAGGAAACAGGCCGACACTATTGTGTTAGCTTTGTGAATTGAGCCTTATACACCAGGATAGGGATACTTATTTTTCAAATAAGCAACAACTATTATTCTCAGCTAAGTCCATTGAGATTTGAAAATTGCAGTCACACGGGGAAAACAAAGATACTTATTCTTGTGTTGAAGCTTTGTGAATGGGCCCTACGTGTGTCTAATAAAAAATTACCTTCTGCCACCAGTTCCTCCACTGTCACTTGATGACGGCCAATGGTGAAACATCTGCCCACCGTCACCCCGCCGCTGGCAAAACTTCCAGATGATCCGGCACCAAGACCACCAGCACCACCACCACCGCCGCCGCCTCCACCGCTCTCTGACCTGGGCATTCGAGAAAACTTCTTCATGGTGCCTTCACCTTGTGCGGGGCTCAACTGACGCTAGCGGCTCAGAAAGCCCACTTTGTTTCAGGTAGGGCCAACAGCTGTCACACCCGCACACACAAAGAGGGGTGCTCATATACACCGCAGCAATCACACTGATGCACACTCAATCACAGAGACTATAAGATAAGAAGAGTATCAGTGAAAGGTAAGCTAGCTAGCATGCAGGGAACAAAGCAGGCTGCTGCGAATACACAGGTTTAGGGTACCAGGCTGCATCAGCTGCATTCCAAGCACTAAACAATGCTCTCACATCCGTGCCACACAGACAAGGGATTGCAGCATGCATGACCCACAGACAAGGCAGTGCCCCATGATCACAACGTTACCGCACAACACCCATCTATCACACACAGGCTGAGGCTGCTGAACAATGTGCGGGCTGAGCCTCTACCCCCACCAGTCCTATTGTCGGTGCCGGCCACTACTTCTACTTGTTGTTGTTGGCTTCTCGGGTTGTTGAAGAGCTGGAAACGGAAGAGGACAATCCGAAGTTCATCCATTCAGAGGCCAAAAAAACCCCTCCTCCTCCTCCCGCTGCTGCTCCTCCTTCCGCCCGCCCAGGAAACTGACAAGGAAAGGAGGGTAGTGGCATGTACGTCGTGGATGTGCACGGAGCACGGGTGGGTGTACACGGCGGGTCTGCATGCACGCGTGAAACACATGCATAACAAGCCGGAGCTGTGTGCGGACGTGTACATGTGCACTGACAGATATACGGTGCAATGCAAACGGCTTCCTTTCCCACCAGCCCTCGTTTGCAGAGGCTGCCTCTTTATCTATTGTTGTACAGGAACCAAATACCTCTGCTCCTGTGTTATCTCTAATGTGGTTCTGACATAGAAACTTCTCCAAAAATAATGGGGGGAATTTATCAAAATCTGGAGCCGCTGTGCATAACGACCAATCAGCTTCACTCTTTCATTTTCAAAGCTCAACTGAACAAACTAAAGAGAGAATCTGATTGGTTGGCATGGGCAACTGCTCCAGATTTGTCTGCTCCGTTGTTGATAAATTCCTGCAACTGTGTTATACTGCACTAAACCTTTCATCCAAATCAGACCTCAACAGAAGCGGAACTAGAGACCTCAGGTCCCCAATGCTAGAAGCCATGGAGGGCCGACCACCATGGGAGGAAGCTGCGGAGCGTTGCCATGCTGGGAGCTGTGCATCTTGCGGGTCTTGTCAGCGACATGGAGCGGCAGCCATCTTAGGCCCAGTGGTCGCCAGAGACAGACGAGGAAGGAAGTATAAAAAAAACAAAAAGTATTATATAGTACAGTGGTCCCTCGGTTCACGAACTTAATTCCTTCCGCGATTCTGGTCGCGAACCGATTTGGACGTGAACCGAATCAAACTGTGATCTTGACTAGAGGAAGCCATCACCATGTGTCAGAGTAGGGAAAATGGCTGCAGTTGTGTTCGTCACCCGAATGGAGTTCGCGAACGGAGGCAACATTTTGCTGAACTTCCTGTTCGCGAACCGAAGCCTTCCTGAACCGAGGTACCACTGTATTTATATAGAAGATAATGCAGTGGTTGTTTCATGTTCAAGAGCCCTAATAGCCTGTTATAATTGTGGGCAGTATGATCAGGGTATTGCTGTGTACACAATGCTGCTGCACTAGCTTGGCATGCCCTATTCCCTGAAACAGGATTTAGAATTTCTAGCTGTAGCCAAAAGGAAATTGACATCTTAAGTTCTTTGTGAAGGTCCTCATTGGTAAAGTAATAAGAATATATTGCTAAACAATATATTCATTCTGTTTTCCATTCAAATATAACAATGTATTTTTATGAGTAAAATAAATATTTATAAGAAATACAGTTAAATAGCCACTTTATGTGACAAAAAAAATTCCACACTTAAGTGAGGTTTCTCTATGAACTGGACATTTGTTTACACATATGCATCCTCCTACATGACACCGTCCTTCATTTTATGTTCTTGTATGCCACCCTCCTTGATTGCATGTTCCCACATGCCACCTTCCTTCTTTGTATGTTCCTCAATAAGTTTATTGACCCAAGTGATAACACCTCTAGCCAATTGGGTCAATAAACTTATTGACTTGATCATTTGGAGTGCCGGTGACTTCATTATTTTTTTGTACGTTTTGACGGAGGCATCGGTTGATGCTGCTGCACCCGCCCTGATACATTGGGCATTCTCCGGTCAGGAGTGCTATGGGATATATGGACTTTTGCTCCTACATTGTATGGTCTCACATGCCATCTTCCTCAAGTTGTATTTACTCACATGCCACCCTTCTTCACTGGATGTTCTTACATGCACCCTCCTTCATTGAATGCAGAGTCAATAGCTGCAGACCTCCAAACCGTGTGTGGTCTTCATATTGGCACAACAACAGTGCGTAGAGAGCTTAATGGAATGGGTTTCCATGGCCGAGCAGCTGCATCCAAACCTTACATCACCAAGTGCAATGCAAAGCGTGAGATGCTGTGGTGTAAAGCACGCCGCCACTGGACTCTAGAGAAGTGGAGACGTGTTCTCTGGGGTGATGAATCACACTTCTCTGTCTGCCAATCCGATGGACGTGTCTGGGTACTGGATTGTCTGCATTGTGCCAAGTGTAAAGTTTGGTGGAGGGGGGGGTTATGGTATGGGGTTGTTTTTCAGGGTTTGTAGCCCATAAAACACATAGGGATACATTGGGATGCATTTTTAGTGCAGGAGCGTACGGATCAGGTCATCACAGAAAACGGACGTCGTGTAAACAGGCCCTCAAGGAATCAGCATACCAAGACATTTTGGACAATTTCATGCTCCCCCTTCCTGTTCCAACATGACTGCAACCAGTGCACAAAGCAAGGTCCATAAAGACATGGATGAGCGAGTTTGGGGTGGAGGAACTTGATTGGCCTGCACAGTCCTGACCTCAACCCGATAGAACACCTTTGGGGTGAATAAGAGAGTAACCTGAGAGCCAGGCCTTCTCGTCCAACATCAGTACCTGACCTCACAAATGCGCTTCTGGAAGAATGGTCAAACATTCCCATAGACACACTCCTAAACCTTGTGGACAGCCTTCCCAGAAGAGTTGAAGCTGTTATAGTGGCAAAGGGTGGGCCAACTCAATATTGAACCCTATGGACTAAGACTGGAATGCCATTAAAGTTCATGTGCGTGTAAAGGCAGGCATCCCAATACTTTTGGCAATGTAGTGTATCTTGAAAGTAGCAGCTGCTTTTGTGAACAACAGAAACAAAGCATACCCCCGTGTGCTGTGTGATAAAGAATGTGGTCACTGCACATTAACTGCCATCAGATTTTTTTTTGCCATTCAAGGGTTTCTTCATACTAGGTCTGTTGAGCTGCACTGTTTGGCATAGATCAATGCTGACTAAAAGCATTGGCACATAGAAAACTATTGTTTCCTAGGTGCCCTGTTCACTCCATACATCTGCGGTGGTGTGCATTTTGTAAAAATTTAGCATGTATGCATTTTTACACAGCACAACTCACCACACCACACGTCTCTATGGCACATAGCAACGCACTGGGTGTCATTCTGTAGCACTTCAATAAAGTTAGAAACAACACAGTGCAATACGTTGTAATACAATATTGCAGCACCCCTATACAGTGTACACTTTTTTTTAATATATTTTATTAACTTTTTCACAAGAAAAAAACAACAGATTAAACAGATCATCAAGAGGAAAATAAAACACATACAAAGAAAATCCTCATACAGAGATTAACAGGGTTATTCACTAAAAGGTGAAGGGTTTGGAGAAGGCAGGAGAAGTGAACAATCTAGGACAACATAGCTGATTTGGAAAAATTCTCCAATTCAGCTCACTTTCCAGTTCAGTTATTTTGTCCTAGATTGTTCACTTCTCCTGCCTTCTCCAAACTCTTCACCCTTTGTGAATAACTCTGTAAGAGTATCTTTCCACTATAGAATACACATAGGACCCTCACTAGGTGGTCCAACGCCATGAATTCCTGATGGTGACTTATACTAGATAAAGCGAGAGAAGGGATATCAATGTCAATGCTCTCGAGGCAGACTTGACCCTGAAAGCGGAGGGTAGGAACAGGGCCGGATTTCCCACAAGGCCGGCCAATACTCGGTCTCAGGGAGCAGAGGGGCAGCAGGGGTGTGAAATTCCTATCTCCCGATGCCCAGGACATTCAGTTTGGGCAAACAACAGGAGAAGTGAACAATCTAGGACAACATAGCTGATTTGGAAAAATTCTCCAATTCAGCTCACTTTCCAGTTCAGTTATTTTGTCCTAGATTGTTCACTTCTCCTGCCTTCTCCAAACTCTTCACCCTTTGTGAATAACTCTGTAAGAGTATCTTTCCACTATAGAATACACATAGGACCCTCACTAGGTGGTCCAACGCCATGAATTCCTGATGGTGACTTATACTAGATAAAGCGAGAGAAGGGATATCAATGTCAATGCTCTCGAGGCAGACTTGACCCTGAAAGCGGAGGGTAGGAACAGGGCCGGATTTCCCACAAGGCCGGCCAATACTCGGTCTCAGGGAGCAGAGGGGCAGCAGGGGTGTGAAATTCCTATCTCCCGATGCCCAGGACATTCAGTTTGGGCAAACAGGGCTAAATGTACAGCAGGGAAGCCGGCTGTGCAGGCTATGCAAAAATTACTCTGTAAGTAATACAATGTATTTTGGTTTTGGAGGCATTGTTAATTAGAAATAAGTGAATAGGTGCCTAGTTTAAATGTGTTAACATAAATTGCAAGGCTATAGTCCGGTCATGCTGACTGGTGACATTTTTGACTGACTGAATTTTTCAAGCCCTGCATATTGTCATTCATAAACGCAACGGTTCAGGGCCACACGGGGCCCCCTTCATTAGGCTCAAAATAACCATTTTGAGCCTGATGAAGGGGACCCTATGTGGCCCCGGAACATTGCGTTTATGAGTGACAATAAATAGACGTTTTCTTTACTTAAATTATGGTGTGCTGGAGACTTCCCAAACAAGTTCTGCTCCAATCGGCACCATCCGCGGTCATTTTATGAACCCATTGTTATTTGGGAAATCCGGTAAGGAGTGCAGCAAGATACCTATACATACCCTATGTGACTGTAACCCCC